ACATGTGCATGCTCTAGCTGGGCTCACCAGACCAAAGATCAAGTCTCTTAAGCTGCTTTTCTGAGCCAAGAAAAGCTTACATGTCGTCACGTTGGTCAGAACAAATGGTCCCAGTTTTAGACCCTGCAGCAGGGCCTGAGAATGGGCAGCACTCCCTGGACTCGAGAAGCAGTATTGCTTTCTTCAAGAAACATCAACACAGTCAGAGTAACCCAGGCTTATTCATGTTCGACTGCTCATTCAACCCAAAGGCTGGAACAGCAGTGCAGTGTTTTAAGCCCACTGGTTAGAAAGAGCAGAAATGAATGAGGGCAGTCAGTGGCAACAAAGTAATGTGCCATTTAAAAAATGTGCCACCCTTCTTTAGTGATATTTAGCTTAGACTTACTGGAAAATTAAGAAAAGCTTTCAAAAGTTTGAACACATAAAGAAAAATATTGCTGTATGGGTTGTGACTAGCTGAATCACAGTTAATTTTGTGTCACGCATGCATGCGTGTTATTGCGTGTTATCCACTTTTTACATTTTGGACTGGATTTATGCCCAGACATGAGCAGATGAATATGATTTGGTATGTTTGCAGTTTGCTTTAAGACCTTCAATGTCAGTGGTGTCCTCCTGATAAAATTTACAGCAGAGATAGCAAAGGTGTTTTTTCACATGACTGTCATCGATCAAGCAGTTTTTTTTGTTGGCCAGTAACGGTCTGCATATTCTGAAAAGAAAGTGGGCTTTAAAAGCAGGGACTAAACTAGGTAACTGCATTAATAAAAACCTTCTTTGAACTCTGAAATATGTGATCTCACTCAGCTGGAGACTATATATTGGCCTGAAAATTGTCATAATAGGTGTTGTTTATATAACAGCTAAAGGTAAATCCGACCAAGTTCATGTCAAGTTCATACACTTCACACATACACAAACAAAAGGTGACTGCAAATGAGGCATTACATGTTTAGACAAAAAAAAAAAAAAATCAGGACTTCACAAACACTCCTTACATGCCAGGCAGGCCAACCTCTAATGGCTAAGGGTGTTTCTGATAAACATATCCACAGAATCACTCTCAGAGGTGTTTAGCTCATTCTTTGAGGTGCTAAAATACCCTGTGCAGTGGTCGCTTTGCTCACCGCTGTGCCATCATTGCACAGATGGAGCCATTTATAACTGCAATTAAGTTGTAAGAAGCCGTTGCAGTATTCTCCAAAACGATAGGTTTCTCCACTCAGACAATATCACGTCATACACACTGATAAGGAGGAGAAGATGTCAAAACCGGAAGCCAAGAGTTGGCAAGTGTTTTTTGCAACGTTCTTTCCAAAAACTCAAGTTTTTCAAATTACTCCAACATTTGTATTTGTATGTGTCCGAGCTTCTGTGCAGGATTACCATTATAATGGCCGTAAAAACCGACATGATTAGTGAAAGACTGTTCCACAAAGATTGTGTCTTGCAATACAGGATGTGATGTGAAACTTGTCACCAGAGACCCGCGACACGAGCCACATGGCGAGCATAAAAACGGCCTTAGGCAGCTCCTCCGTGTCAAATCAAAAAGAAAAGCTAACATTGGTTTTACTACCTGGGAAAATTTTCTGACTGCATTACAGACCTGGCCTCAACGAACTATATTAAAAATGGATGAGTGGCAGTTCAGGAGGAACTCAGATGATAAGCAATGGTTCTTGTTTTGTTACCTTTTGATTGATGGCTTTATTATTAATCAATAAAACAAGCTTTTACTAGCTATAATAAATCCACAACTGCTCGAGCCCCTACAGATTCAACTCCGAGCCATAAAAAAACCTCTTAATTGTTTAATGTTATGCACATGCTTTACACAACGCGCAACAATAAATAACCAACTAACCTGAGCACTCTGAATTTATAATCAACACGGTTTAAAGAAAATGACTAATAACCATAAGGCCGTGAGATCAAAGCAGTCGAACCACAACATGCAGTCATACAAGCCTTTTACTGTTAAATCCTACTAAGGGAGTGTAATTTAGCAGTGACATGTGGAGGTGAAATAAGGCTGTTAGAAGGTACATGATCAAAGCGGCAGATGACTACGTTATCTGGTCCCACGGTAAGCATCTGGAATGTGTGTGGGGATTTTTTCCCCCCCTTTCGGTGCCTTTTATCCGTGTCCTAACGTCTCTGCTGTCACACTGAGTCTACAAGCCTCAGAGGTTATCAAGAGCTGCGGTAGCCATGCAATGCAAATCATCTTGCCTGCAGTAGATACACAAGTTTGATAAGTGTTGGAAAAAGCTCCACCCAGGCTGGACCATAAAGGAGCTGCTTCCAATTTACAGGACTTGGAATTCTGCTGACATGGAACGAAAGCTGCTTCTGTTGCACGATCATGGTATAAGCCTGACACACTTGGATGAACAACTATGCTCGAAACATATGACTTACATTGGGGCATGTGCTTAAAGGGAATTGGATTAGCTTCTGGCAAAAAGAGGGATTATAAATGATTCTGACTTTGAGTGTGCTCTAAAAGGATTGATTACCATTTCAATTTTTACTCTTTCTTTGCAAATGGAAATGTGAATTAGTCTCTTATTCGCCTGCTACTAAGCTGCAACACCAAGCTAACTGTGTCAAGCTGAAAACAAAGACAAGAGTGAAGAGAAGAGTGGTGTCAGTATCCAGACTTGGTACAGGACAGCTTATTCCTGGCCTGCTCTGCTGCTGCATGTCTCTCTAAGACTGCAAAGTGCAGCCAGGAAAAAGAGGAGGGACGGGATAGAAAGTTTCACTGGACATTATGCACGTATTGCGAATGAAAACACACTGACACTAAACTAATGCACAAATGAATGGTCAGTCGTTTTTAACATTTAAACAAGTTAGCTTATTTCTGAACTTCTTCAAACCATCTCTAGTGATTTAGTGCTTTGCAGAAAGTAGGCTGTTTTTCAGGGGATTCTACAGACTGTGCCATTTAATTAAAGGAAGCAAAAACAGCACAGTCAGAAGATTCCTGTTCATACAAACTAAGCATTATTGTGACACAATTAGGATGCTTACTTTATGAAGTAATCATTTTTTGGAGGAGTAATATATGATGCAAACAGAAGATAGCATGGAGTATAAAACATCAGAGCAAATGGACAAACAAAACTCACACAGATATAGATCACCAAATCTAATTCAAACTTTAAAAAAAAAGCATTAGAGCAAAAAGGGTAGGAAAGTACACCTATTCTGCATCTCCTGTTATAGTTAGCAGTGATTCCCACATATAGGCTTTATACAAATCTACTCTGAATGACCATGGCCATAAAAACAAGCCTTACTACAAGATCAGCCCAAAGAATGAACAAATCCATCCTTCACACTGTGTTTTAGGAACAAACAACTGAGTTGGCACATTTTTTTTCCCCTTTGAAATGTATTTGCTGGGGTGGAACGCTGAAAGAAAAAAAAATGCAACTCCGCATGGGTGCTGCAATCTGCTGAGGCCATTCAGTCGACCAGCCGGCCTTGTGTGGCTTTGTATATGAGCACCAAGATGAGACATCAACTCTTGTCTATATTTAGATCACTGGACGGCTCTCCTTCCAATGTTCCCATCCTTTCAGAAAAGGCTGCCAGGGAGAATGACGAGAAAAAACAGGCTGAGGTGATATGTAATTACACTGAATGGTTCCAGCCTCTCGCATCCTTTCATTGTACCCACACGCTCAGAGATAATGAAATGGAAGGCATGCGTTTTTTCATATATTTACCATAAATCCTGCAAGTCGGGCCATTCTTATTTATGGTGTCAAAGAAAAGGCTCTAGTGCTTGACTGTGCATGGAATAAAGAGCATAAACACCAGCAAGTACCCTAGTAGTGAACTCAGTCTGATAAGGGCTTCCAAGGTGCTGTTGCTCTTAGCAATAAAACCATCCCAAACCAAAGTCTGGTTAAATGCACCACTTCCTACACTGCAGATACCAACTTGAATGCAGACATAATTCAGTACAGAAACATAAGAAACTTTAGATGCAGATACAGTGCTGAAATTTATGCTGCTTCTACATACTACATTGATTTAATGTCATTTCACTTTAAGTTTTTAAATCATACCCTAGGACAAACGTATGTCTGCTACACACTAAAATTGCAGGCGTGTACACAAACTGGACACAACCATTGGACTGCAAACAGAAAAGCACCCGTATTTTATTTGACTGAACAAAATAGGCTTAAAATAATTAACATGATAGTCCAAAGATCTAAGCCTAGCCAGAGATGCAGCTTCAAAATCACGCCTCTCTGTTAGTAACAAACAAGTTGGAAAGTAAAATCATAACCCTGCTAACCAGTGCAGTTCTGCTATACTTTGATCTGGAAAATGAATGGATCTATGCTGTGCCAGAGTAAAATGGCATATAATCACTTGAACGGAGCAGTACGTATCCACAATCGGGACGAGGGTGTAGACATAAACGTGCAAGGAAAAAAAAGCCTGCCAGTACTAACAAATGCTTATGTTACAACCTCAGTAAGATGTAACTTACCACAAAAGAATGTGGCTCAAACATGCCCAATATCGTTATACAGCAACTTCATTCATTCGATTTTAACCCTTTTCTGACTGCTAGACTGGTCAACTATTACTGAATATCAACTAAGAGCTCAGACAGAAGTTTATGTCACACATACCCACAGAGTTATATGCAAAAACGTGGAGAAGGAAACTGCATATGATTCACTGTTACACAAAAAGGTGGAAGGATTATGCATATTAGAGGTGGAAATGGGTAAGGTGAAACGAAAAGGAGGAATTCATGAACCCAACTGGGCCACCCAAGTACTTTTATCTTTAAAGACCTGTTGAAAAATAAGCGTTTACTTAAAAGGCCATAACCTTGTAGGGGAAATGAAGAAGTAGGTCATAACAGACTTGATATATGTGGGTAGGGCATGTATGAGCCTGCAGTCTGTGGTCTGATTAAATCCAAAATGTGTTTTAAAGATGCACTGCCAACTCACCTATTCTTTTCCAGCTCGTTATGTGTCGACCTGCAAACAAAAAACAAAAAGCAGAAGCTGTTAAAAAAAAAGAAAAGAGAACAAATGTACAATTTTGCCTTAATGAGCAAGCAAAATAAAAGGTACAGGGCGTCTTTATCAGAAAAAAAACAATTTACTTTACATGGGTAGTATTAGAATACTAAGTATGTATGAGCTAGAAAACCACGGGCTGAGACGTGAATGGTGAATTGGAGTGTCAAATTTGATTAACAGATTTATTAATTAATCTCAAACTAGACCAATTCTAGGCTCAGTGCACTGAAGCCTTTACACAAACAAATGTCAACGTGACATCCAGGAATGCACTGTGGCACAGTGCCTCTTCCTCAATAATGCAAGGGAGGATGTGACACTGCAGACACTTCCATTCACACTGTGCATGTGCGTGCGACTGGTAAAGTAGGAACGTGCGCACACAAATACACAAAAGCATCCAGGATTCAGTGCTCTGTTAATAATCTAAAGTGAATCAGCTCGTCCCTAAGAGTGTCTGTGTGTGGAAACATACTGAAAGGAGACAAGGCCTCCCCCAGATTTTTTAAATGGCCAAGTTCCCTTTCACACAAACTGCACTCTACCTCCTCCCAGGGGGCAAAATGGGGGTAGGGGAGTGCTGCTGGATGCAACCTGGTCAAGCACTTTTCTATAGCGTGGGTTATCAATACTGCAGTATGCTTTTTTTCTTGCCATCTTGGTAATAAGCATGCAGGAAATATGGACGAAGCAAGAGGTAAGAACAGAACAGAGGGAATGCTGCGGTTCCATCTGTAAAAATTGGCCCAGACTCAGAGGAATTCATTTTTTAATGAATAGATTACTGTTTATTTAGTTGGATATGCTAGACAGTATGGTAAGTCAACTGTGGCAGTATATTTGATTTGACATGACAAGGTCTATGACCAGGCTGAGTAGCTACTATTACAACAAAACCCAGGCACATTTCAGACACTGCAGGCTATTTGCTTAAAACCTGAAGGAGCCTACATGCTCACGTGGATGCCTTCATCTTTTATATACATTATATAAGCACTGAAATCATGTATGGCTGTGCTCTTCACCAGGCCAGCCACACAAACTAAAATCATATGAATGGTGCATTTAAAACAGCATAATCTCTTTTTGTTTAATGGTGATCTCCATAAATGTCATAAAAAATGAGCTAACAGCCACACATTTAGTTCTTTATTGGGAAAATGAATAGCCACAGTCTTGTGTTGAACGCTGACTTCTTTGCACACATGTAATTATTTTCATTGTCTCCAACTCCGCTTATTTCTGTAACTGTCTGATCTGTAAAGTCAGATCAATAGTTGTGCTAACAGAAGATTAATACGTTGGAGTGCATAATTTGCGTCATCTGCTGTCACAGTGGTTTCACTGAGTCTGTGTTGCTTGGTAACCAACATCCTGCTTTGTAACCTTTCCAAACTCTGAATGTTTTACCAAAATGTGAACCTTCATTTGGTTCCCTTTAAAAGCGCATTTAGGGAACAATGTTAAAATTCAGGATTCCAAGGAACTTGTGTGAAACCAAACTTCTTTTTTTACATTTGGGAAATCTCTTCAGCTGCTCTATTTCACTATACTGAAAAATGGCCTTTCATTTGGCCTAAGTCAACTTACGTGGGTTTTATCATCACAATCCTTTTTCCCTGCCTCCTGAAACCCATATCTGCATGTCTGGACAGTGACAGCAAGGCCACACAGAACAGCAGCATGCTTCCTTCTGCAGGCAGGCATGCATGTATGTGTACGCGTATGTGTGCGCATGTATATGCATGCAGGGAGTGGGTCAGCGAGATAAAGCTGCCCTGCTATAAACGGTAGGCAAGAGAGGACAGATTCAGATAAGCCCATCACTTTAAGCCTCAACACGCTACTGAGAAGGCAGATATAACTGGAGCAAGCAACTAAGAGTGTGTTAAAATAAAATGTAATATTAATGTAAATATGATAATGAATAAATTAGCATATTCTCTAAGATGTCGGCTTAACATTAATTTTAAAAGGGTCCTTGGAGTGTTTATAAGTAAGGAATAAACAAGAACATGTTTGAGACTGAAGCTTAGGTATATATGATGTTCTTTTTGTCATTAAAAATGCAGACACAGAAGATGGCTGCATTGTAGATCTCTTTGGCTAATGCACCATGCCTTTAATTTGCTCACTTGGCTTCTGTCATACACAGGATCTCTGAATGAAAAAGGCCCATCGAATGATCTTATTTTTTTAGTTTGCCAGATGCCCATCTCCCCATGGGAGTAAACGAAACCACATCACAATATGAAGCTGTGAATGGGTGTTTAATACAAAATGTGTTAACGCAATAGGCGAGTTGTAAACATAGCTCTATGAATAGAAACAACAAGCATTATCCCTGCACAGTTTTATTGGTAGTGCTTCTTCACATCTCGAAGCATTTAAAAACCAAATCTTTTCTCTTTGCCACTTGCTTCCATTTTCTCTCCTGCATACGTAAACAGTTTGATTACAGACTCTCAAAGTTGTCCCACTTTAGAAGCAGATTTCAGAAAAAGCATGCATTGTGAAAGCTTACAGCTTTTCTAGCATTTAACTTTACATTAAGCATCATTAATGTGTCCTTATGGATATTCTCACAAGACTAAATGCTATGAAGAGTTATGAATATGGTGTCAGACTAACAATATATCTGATCGTGACTGTTGCCATGCAGAACTAGGCAGCATTGTGCGCTCATGATGAGTAATGCGCAGTTCCTGTTTGGTGGCCTTCTCTTACATTAATATTAAAAAGCTCTTCAAGAGTACGAGTGGGCTTTGTGTTTGATGTATGACTGTCGATGGAAAGATTAATGTAAGCAGCCTAACTTAAAAAAAACAAACAAACAAAAAACCCACACAAATCCAGTGGATCCTCCCAACTCCTGTTACTAAATACAAGTGTCTTCCATCAGTGAAAGTAATGTGTTTGACAAGGGCCTTAATCTATGTGACAGTCATTATCAGCGAGTGTTACTAAGCATATGTTCCATAACAATCACCAGTAGCTTTGAAATTATGCAAACTGTGAACCCATGTTTTTTTTTATAGAATATGAAGGTAAAGATGAAATAGCAAGTCAGTGATTATACAAAACATAAGTCCTATAAATGGCTCCACATATTCGTCTTTTGGTGTCTGCAAACAAAACATGCCATAAATAGCAGCGTTTCCTCTTTAGGGGATAAGACTAAATATCCCTTTCTCCCACAGTGAAGTGGAGAATGCATACTAGGGGGAAATACAGAAAGTCAACCACAAAAAAAGAAATTACTAAATTTAAAAATCACGGGAAAATGTTTCTGCATTGTTTAGGCAATAAATAGAAGAAGTAGAAGATGTTGCTGCAACATTTTTTTTCTTAAGCGACATTTTTCGTTTTAAAGTCTTTACTTTCACCATGATCCCTAACCTTGACCACTGCAGTCCGTTTGACAATCAGCTGATGAAAAGCCAGCAGAGCCCCTGTTGCTGCCACCCCCCGTCAAATCCACCGAACCAGCGGTGTTGACGGTCAAACGTGCACGTAGCTACTATAGATGTCTCTACAAGTTCGAGGATCGATCTTTTGTTATTCAAATGTCAGTGTCTCTTTACCTAGAAAGCCCCTTTATCTGAAAAGCGTAAACGCTGCAATAACCAGCTGGCAGCAGTTTAGGATCACATGCTATCTGCAGCAGTGTCATCCATCCCAGAACTTCACTTTCATTACTGGCATATAAATAGCAAGACGAAGAAGAAAACAGACACTTTTCCCCAGCAATCACAAAAATGACTGAGAATAGTGTCTTACCTATTGTGGTTACTGCTGAACTTCTTATTTCGGAATTTCCTTTGCCTCTGGTAGTTTGTGTTCTGATTTGATGGAAACGTCGAGGCATATCCATGTTCACACTCTGTTGGAAAAAAAAACTGGTGGTTAACTGACTAGCCACTTTTTTCTTTTGGGGGACACTTTCTACTTCGAAAATCACCCTTTTTGAGCCGACAACCAGTACAGGGTTGTCACTGCCAACTGAGACATTTGGAAATGTTATTACCTCTTTCTCTCCTTTCTATGTATTCTGCTGCTTCCAGTAACCGCTGGATATTTATTAGCTGAACAGCCGTCATTCTTTCCTGAGGCTGGCTGTGTTGGACGTTGCAATCTAGCTTTGCAAGCAGCAGCAACGACCGCTTTTTAATTACAGGGAAGACAGTGCATTGGTTATTATTAAAACTGACGTGTTATATCCTTGTTCCGTGCCTTTGCTGGCTCATGAACAGCCTTCGCAAAAAGGGAAGGAAAGAAAAAAAATCCAGTGTTCGCAAGCTAGCAAGCTACAGCCAATCCTCGCCAGAATTCACTGTTAGAAAAAGAAAGCGTATCAAAATATTTAAAAGTTTCTACGAAACACGATATCAAATTTTTACAAAATTGGATAAAAACAATATAAAACGTCCCCGAGGGAACCCTGAACCAGCAATGCGCGTGCTGCAGCTCGTTTCCTCTCCTTTCCTGTTTGTTTACTTAGCTGCTCAGCTGAGAGGCGGGGATCCAGCGGCGGGAGAGGCCGGCCTAAGTGCAATGCATTCTGGGAAATCGAGTATTTTGGTGAATATGGTCCATTTTACCTCAAACGCAAACATTCCATTAAGTTCACAATTTAGCCCACCTTTACTGAGATATATATCGATTGGAAAATCATTCACGATTGTAATAATGTTTCAACTGCAACTACAACAGGTCAGTGTAAATTAATACATACATCTGGCAGAGTTCCAGTGCACAGATCAGCAGAAATTATTTTAAAAAATGGTGTGTTTACTATTGTTCTTGCAAAGTTTAGGAACGTTGTTGCTTCTTTTCATGACAACGTCATAAATGCATGACAAAAAATAATAAAGCATTAATTAGGGCTGCTTTTCATATTTAAATTACTAAATATCCATGTAATTCCATATTCTTGCCAGACTACGAGTCCTATAGAAAAGCCCTACAAATCCCATCCTTCACTGGGACAGTAGGCGTGTCTTGGTCGGCTGTAGCCAGGCCCAGCAACACGTGACGTTGCTATCGAGCGTAACTTCGATTGGCGAAAGGCTTTGACAGGCGGCGAGGGTTGAGCTCGCCTCTAGCCAACCGCAGGAACCTTGCGCCATGTGGAAGCCAGTGCGACACGCCCCCCAAAATAGCAGGAAGCAAACAATCGAGAGGACTGCTTTCTGTAGAAAATTTCCCACGTTGCATTATTATAGTCGATATCACTTCAAAGGCTTTCGCAGCGCGTTTCACCCAACGTGACTGACCTTTCTGCACGAAAAATGCCGTGCACAGAAAAATGCATATATAAATTCGTCTTTTCGGTCTTTTAAAGTCACGAGTTAGATGAAAGCGAAGCCATGAAAATGATCATAAAGAGTCGTTTTTAGTAGTGCATTGCCCAGATAACATGTCATTACATTGGATACGTGCCAATCCAATACCCATCTGAATGATCGTGCTTTCTGCAATCAGCCAACTTATCTATAATTACATCATTTCTTATAACGTGATAAACAAGAAAATCATGCAAGGTCGGATATTTTCTAAAAGGTCGAGTCAACGCCGCGAGCTATAGCCGTGGCGTTTATCTATAAAGTTTCAGTTTGTTTCACCGATCGAGTCTGCGGGGGCACAATGACATCATCCTAAACTGAGTTGGAGGGCGCTGCAATGTGGTCAGATTTATTATAACGGAATCGTAGCCAACATTCACACCCACACACCTAATCATTATGTCATATTGCTTTGTCTATGCAGCAGGGAGGTACAAAAATTATAGATCCCTGTGTTGGGAGTTGTGGAGAGTGACATAGCTCTACACGAAGATAATGCGGATAATGCAGGTAAAAATAGTCCGTAAAATTACGAAAGCTTATATTTTTCTCCCCTCCCGTAACTGCAATAAGTAAGGTCACCTAAATCAGTCTGGTGCTCTTTCATATTCTGTGTTTACTGCAGGCAGCGGTGCTTAGTTGAATGAACTCAACCCTTTGTTGTCTGAATCTGTTGACAGTGAAGTCTTTTTTTTTTCCTTCCTGAAATTCAGATGCAAAGGGGGAAAAAGATCAAACGCAGCACACAAATAAAACTCACTTCCGTCCTTCCTCTCGGCGCTCTCAAGAAACCTAGCAGCCTCCAGCAAAACTTGTACATTTTTCAGAAAAGTGTTGATCTGCTCCATGTGGGAGTCTTTGGAGTTGAAGACGTCATTGAAAGGACAACTAGACATCTCGAAATCTTGCTGATCCAAGAGAGACGCATCGGAATCAAAAAAGAACTCCTCACTCTTCAAACTTCTTCTTTGCCTCTCACTTTTGGCCATTTCCCCCCCTCTTAGTTTCCGAGCTTTCTGGCGACGGGCTGAGCGCAATTCGCAGTGAGGCAGCTTCTGGGGGACGCTGCTCTTGTCAGATGGTGTCTCTTTTCTTTCTTTCTTTTCTTTTTTTTTTATGAATGCAGGGTGTTTAATGTGGAGCAGTGGCCAATGTCAGTAGATGATGGTGCATGGGAAAACAGGGAGCCCGGCCCCTTAGAGTCTAAGGATTCCGCATGGTCCCTGTGCCCGCCCTTGAAGAGAATACAGAATCGTGCATGCATGGACACTATACCAATGAATCATATTTACATGTTAACATTACATAAGAGTTTCATAATTCTGTTTTACGTGGCATCACATTAAACAAAAATAAGCACAACTTGAGTTTAAACAGCAATGGCAGGTTTGGGACTAACAGCTTTTATTGTATTCTACTGCTGTTTACAGAAGTCAAGCTATGAGAAAGGCATTTAAAACTTGATTTGAAGGTAAAAATAGTTTTTGTTGTTTTAATTTGTTACAAAGAAGTAGGAAGTTATTATTTTCTTCACTGACCACGCTATTTGAGCAAATAAAAAGGTTAAAAAAAATAAAATAAACGAGGCTCTGTGCATGTTTATCATGCCTATACTGTTTTCTCACCAGCATTTTTTCCAGATCTTTATGCCATAGTATACTCCAAACTGAACCTCCCACTGAAAGTTACCATCTGTAAATCCAAACAAAGATCAGTACTGGAGATTACTGGGCTACAAACATGTCTAGTCATGTTCCTGGGTCAATGGCCTAGGATTTCAGAACTCAGACTTTTTATTAAATATGTTATTATTTATTCCTTTGTATGCTTGTTTCTTTTATAATCAATTGTGTTGTTTAGCTGCAGTTGCTTTTTGTAGTTGAGTTTAGTTAATTTAGTTGTATCTCCAGGTTTAATTTCCTCTTATTCATTAGTCTCTATGGTATCTTAGCTCTAGGTGTCAATTGTTTCAGTATTTTCTTGTATTTTGCCTCTTCTGTTCCCATTGGGTTTTGAGTCTTGATTACAGTTTGTTTTCTATAAGCTCTTGTTTTCCCTTTTATATAAAGTTTTCTATATTCTTTTCAGTAACTCACTTCCTGTTTTACTTTGACAGTAAACTAGCTTTTGTATTTAGTTTTACTTTCTGGTCTTGTTTTAATTAGCTTCAGCTGTGTCCCCACACCCTCACATGTCCACGTTTCTTGATTACCTCATGTGTATTTAAGGCTTCAGTTTGACTCAGTTCTTTGTTGCATCATACTGTTTACTTGCTCAGTTTCCTTAGCATATTCGCTGTGTGGCTATTGTAGTCATTCCTGAAATCTGTAGTGTTCTGTGCCCTTTGTTCTTACAAGTTTGCTTCTAAAGTTTGCATTTGAGTCCCTCACTGCATATGTTTGCAGCATTGTAGGCCTGCAAGAAGACAAGCCTAAGATGAATTTACTATAAAAACACACACAAATTCCCAAATCTGAGCTTTAAAGAGAGGTGAGAAAGAGGAGCTTGAAGAACTGTGTTAGTATAAGACTGATCCCACTGAAATGACAGAAAGGGTAACTGAGAGATAAGTTCTTAGCCTTGATCTTGTGCCATTTTCAGTAGACCTTTAGTTAAGATGTTTTTATACTGCCGCAGAGTCCATTTTGAACCAGAACATGTCGAGGCAGAAGCCTGTATGAAGCCCTGATACACCCCCTCACTTTGCCACTTCAAAGAGCCAGCAGCAGCCCGTGATCGTTTGATGTAAAGTTCACAGAAGCAGAAACTTTAGTCCGACACAAGGGGGAATCTCTGAAGGTCCCTCCTTCCCCTGCCCCACCACCTCTTTACCCTCTGTGAGGGGTAGCTATGGACGAAGGAAAGCCATTTCAGAGGGATCCCGATTGGACTTTGAAAGGTGCCAGCGCCAGCACATGACAAAATGCGTGGATTTTCAAAAGGGCTTGGCAAAACCTCTTTGGGATTTCAGGACAGAGTTGAACATTATAGGTTACTGGGCCTACTTTTGTAGGCTCTGCTTTTCATGCTGTCTTTGCTTCCTGAAGTGCATAGCTCCAGGGCAACTTTTTTTGTCAGTGAGCAAAGTGTTTATATAGCAATAGACATGAAAAGTATAGCATGAAAAGCTCTAGACGCAATAATAATATTTTCCTCCTCCTGAAGGTTTGGGCCATTCAGGTCACGTGCATTAGGAGGGATAAGAGCTGCTAAGCAGAAGGGAGTCATGTGTCCCAGCAGGAAACACTGGTAACAGTGAGACGGTACAGACTGAAAGAGACTATTGCTTAGGGGTACGTATGTCCTGTGACATACTGTTTGAAGCTCCCCACACACAGACACTCAAACCACTCATCTTCTGGCTATTATTCTGATTAAAGGCTACCCCGTGATCTTTACTTTAAAGGTAAAACCTATGACCAAACAAGACGTAGTGAACTATAAACATCAAGAGAGGAGACAGGAACAGAGGTCAGGCATTTTCAAGGAGACACGCTCATTTTTACGAGCCTAAGGAACAAACCACAGCTCATAAATTAGGGGCATTAGGAGAGGCAAGGGACTGTGATAGGAAGTTACTAGTTTCATATAATGGAGATAAAGTTGCTAAGAAAAAATATGTAATTAAATTACAGTTACTTACTTACATAGAGACCCCCCCGAGAGAGCATTTAAAGATAGGGCATTATCTCATCATTGGTATTGTCTTTCTCCTATTTTAGGGTCGTTATCTTACAAGATAAAGATATATATATATATATATATATATATATATATATATATATATATATAATAAACAAAGTTAAATGGAAAAAGCAGAATTGTCAAAATGTTAGTGATTACAAAATGATAAGATGCCATTATATTCTGCATGGTAAAAGGCTTATTGAATAAAATACTCATTTTGTTGCTTTCCACTTGAATGTGAACTGCCTCTGCCAGTCAAGAGTGCATTTCTCCAAGCAACATGAGTCTGCCGTGGCCTGCGACCGGCCAGAGCAGGTGGGTGGGCATGTCGGTGTACAAGAACGTCTTTCAGTACGAGACATTCAATAGTATCTTCCTCCTCAGAACAGGAAAATGCTCTGAAATGACTCTACGGTGCACAGCTTGTTTACCAGGTGCGAAAATGCTGTTAAAT